AGGCTTGTGCTGGACCGCAATTACTTTGTGTCTCTTCCCAATACCATCGGTAACTTGAGAAGGCTGGAACATTTCAGTATAGCTCACAACTCGGTGGGCGAGTTGCCTCCGGAAATCGGTTGTCTGAATGAGTTGAAAATTCTGGATGTCAGAGGGAATAACATTAGGAAGTTGCCGATGGACTTGTGGTGGGCAAACAAACTAGAGACTCTCAATGCCTCCTCAAATGTGCTCGAAAACTTTCCGAAGCCAGCTTCACGTGCGCCTCAAATACCCGGGGAATCATCAGGGTCACCTGCTCCCAGCAATAAAGGGGCGAACGGACCCCTTTCTTCCGCATCTAGCTCCGAAGATCTTCTCCCTGACGGGTCGCGTCGACCTAGTCAAGCATCGAGCACATTGCTTAGCGTCGGGCCTTCACCTGTCCCTTCTGCCGCGGACAGGAAGAGCTCTGTCGTTTCCGTCTACGGAAAGGGAGGGCGGAAGACTTCGGTTGTCTCACGATCAACGACGGCTAGTAGCGTTAACGGGACTATGACTCCTGCTGCGACGTCGAGAAAAGACTCTGGACTTTCTAACCGGCTGACTAACACATTTGCCGGTTCGTTAAGAAATCTATACCTTGCTGATAACCAGCTCGACGACGAAGTATTCGAGCAGATCACACTTCTGGCTGAGCTGCGCATCCTCAACTTATCTTATAATGACCTCAGCGACATGCCACAGCGTTGTATCAAGAATTGGCCCCAGCTTGTGGAACTTTACCTGTCAGGCAACGATTTGACTAGTTTGCCGGTTGATGATCTGGAGGAGTATAGCTTGCTTCAGGTGCTTCACATCAACAATAACAAATTCACGAACCTTCCGGCAGATATCTCCCGAGCGAAAAAGCTGGCTGTATTGGATTGTGGAAACAATTCTCTCAAATACAATATTTCAAACGTGCCATATGATTGGAATTGGAACCTAAATCCGAATTTGCGCTTTCTGAATTTGTCAGGAAACAAACGGCTGGAAATCAAACAGACAAATCTTGGTCTAGGAGCCCTGAACCGCGAGCAGTATACCGACTTCAGTCGACTGCTAAATCTCCGTGTGCTTGGACTGATGGATGTCACCCTTACTCAACCAAGTATTCCAGACCAGAGCGAGGACCGCCGTGTCAGAACTTCAGGCTCATTAGCTGGCCATCTACCATACGGTATGGCTGACACGCTAGGCAGGAATGAACACCTTTCAACCATCGATCTAGTAGTTCCACGTTTCAACTCATCGGATTCTGAGACTCTCCTAGGCTTGTTTGACGGTCAAGCGCTCTCCAGTGGTGGCTCTAAGATCGCCAAGTACCTTCACGAGAACTTTGGCCACATATTCACAATGGAGCTTAAGGCCTTAAAGACGCGGCAGAACGAGACTCCAATTGATGCGTTAAGGCGGGCGTTTCTAGCCCTGAACAAGGACCTTGTGACGGTGGCCATTGAGCATACTGAGAAGAGGCCGTTAATGTCGCATCGTGGTTCATCAGCACCAGTCGTTCTTAGTAAAGAGGATCTTAATTCCGGAGGTGTCGCCACAGTCGCGTACCTTCAAGCTCAAGAGCTATATGTCGCTAATGTTGGTGACGCGCAGGCCATGCTCATTCAGTCCGATGGTTCACATAAGATTCTCACCCGGAAGCATGATCCTGCTGAGCCGAATGAGCGTCAAAGAATACGGGATGCTGGAGGCTGGGTATCGCGTCAAGGGAAGCTGAACGACTTGCTTGAAGTTTCTCGTGCTTTCGGCTACGTGGAGCTGATGCCGGCTGTCCAAGCAGCCCCGAATATCACACAGATTTCGATCACGCCGCAGGATGAAACAATCTTGATCGCAACGAAAGAGTTATGGCAGTATCTTAGCCCCGGATTGGTAGTTGATGTCACTCGATCAGAACGACACGATCTCATGCGCGCGGCGCATAAGCTACGAGACCTTGCCATCGCATATGGCGCCACTGGAAAAATCATGATAATGATGATCAGCGTCGCTGATCTCAAGCGGCGTCAGGAACGATCGGCTCGTTTGCATAGAGGGCAGAGCATGTCACTCTATCCCTCCGGAGTCCCAGACGAATATCAGTATCCGATCAAGCGAGGCAGGAAGGCCAAGGGCGAAGTTCAAGACTCTACACTACACAGGCTCGAGGCTGAAGTTCCTGCTCCCATTGACAAGCCTTCTATCGTCTTTACCGATATTAAGAACTCAACCAATTTATGGGAGACGTATCCCTCGGCCATGAGGTCAGCGATTAAACTTCATAACGAGGTTATGCGACGGCAACTTCGGAGAATCGGCGGATACGAAGTCAAGACGGAAGGTGATGCTTTCATGGTATCCTTCCCTACCGCCACCTCAGCGCTATTATGGTGCTTCGCCGTTCAAACCCACCTTCTCAATGTAGACTGGCCCTCGGAAATTCTCAACTCGGTTTCCTGCCAAGAGGTGTACGACAAAGACAACAACCTCATCTTTAGAGGTCTGTCGGTGAGAATGGGTATCCATTTCGGTGAGCCGGTAGCCGAAATCGATCCCGTTACACGTCGTATGGATTACTTCGGTCCAATGGTGAACAAAGCTTCTCGTATATCTTCCGTGGCCGACGGCGGTCAGATTACTGTGTCGGCAGATTTCATTTCGGAGATCCAGCGTTGCCTCGAGACCTATCAGGAAAATGACCGGACTGGGTCTACAGGTTCCGACGATACCTTCGATGACGATGTAAATTCGTCGGCAATCAGAAGAGAGTTGAAGTCGCTTAGTTCACAAGGATTCGAAGTCAAGGAAATGGGTGAGCGGAAGCTCAAGGGCCTTGAGAACCCCGAGTACATTTACTCACTATATCCACATGTTCTCGCCGGCCGCATCGAGCACCATAACAACGCTGCTATGGCCTCGGAGACCGCCGATAAGCCTGCCACGCTTCAGCCCGGCAGTGATATCGGGTTCGATCCGGAGATTATTTGGTCTCTCTGGAAAGTTAGTCTACGCCTAGAAATGCTTTGCAGTTCTCTGGAAGAGATGTCCGGCAGCGGCTTGCAACCTCCCGAGACTGAGCTGTTAGAGCGGATGAAGCAACGTGGTGGCGAGATTACAGAACGGTTCCTATTTAATTTCATGGAGCACCAAGTGAGTCGTATTGAGGTATGTATTTCCAGTCCTTCGGTGGAGTTTTTCATTGGGATATGCTGACCCGTATTTGCAGACTTGCGTATCTACACTTACAATGCGACACATCGCTATGGGTGGTGGTAAAATCACCTCGCTAGACGATCTCCGAACTCCAATGAGTGTTATTCTGGATAACCTTGCTATCCAGCTAGCTGAGCTCGAGAGATACAAAGCGAAATACGGTGAGCTCAGTTCTGACAGCGAAGACGAAGGCGAAAGCGGCTCCGACCAGGAATGAACCTAATCCAGCTATGTGATCGATGGCATTCCCACTCCGCGCTCCGTCGTCCAGTATAGTATACCGAATCTACAACATGGATTCGCGTTTTCAAATCCGTCATCGCCCACTCTTATTCCACGCATTCTACCAGGGCTGTAATCGCCCCCTATATATACAATATTGACCTTGTAATGTGCTATGACGAAGACATCGTTACGACTACTTCCAGAGGGAGGCGGGGCTGTTTTTTTTTTTTTTTTTTTCCCAGAATCATGAGGGCGCGTATTGACTGAAATGTGGGCGACGGTGTCCTGCGAGCAACCGAGAGCCCCTCGCAAGACCAGGTGTCGACGAGTTGTGTTTCTTTTTGGACTATCCCATAAAAGTGTGTTTTTGGACATGAGCTCGCTACTATTATTATCATTATTACCGTTAGGCAGGGCATTGGGTTATTATACAGGCGGCCATAATTAGCTACGCTGTTGTCGCAGTTGCTTTTTACCGCGCAGACGTTTGCCGCGAGTTGGGCGTTATATCCTCCGGGGGAGGGCAGGAGAGTGGAATTTTTCGGATTACGGGAAAGATGAAATGGGAGGATGGATTGATTCCCTCTTTTACATTAGGTATCCATGGTCTTCTGTATGCCGGGGTTTCTTCATGAGGTGTTGGTGTCGGTTGTCTCGACATACAATTACGGCTGGCTGGCTGGCACGCGCATTGACCGTCTCCGATACAGAATTATCGACGCATATTAAATGGGTTCCAATCGACTTTGAGTACCTAGGTAGCTGACGGGCGAACCTACTAGATTGCTCGCCCCCCATGGGTTAGGGCGGGCGGCTGGGGTTGGCCGATTCAATGACCTGTATTTGATCTTGCTGTTGGTTCTTGTGTGTGTGTGTGTTTTGCGATGTGATAGGTGTGACTTTAGAGGTACTTCTTGATGTGTGGGATTTACTTAGATATGATGTGTACCTGTGAAGATTCATTCCCACACCCGGGGGGACTGATTCAAAAATATGCCCATCCCCAGTCAGAGTGCCTTGGTACCTCTGTAGCGCATCCGCACTCATGTTTTTCGTGAGACTCCTGGCTATCGGGTCTATATCCCGTCGTAGCAGCTACATCCACCTCACCTCACTTGATTTTCTAGCAGAAGAATGCACCACGATCTCACAATTTTAGTCCTTACCCGCCACAATTATTCTTCTTAGCATTAAAACCTAGGTACCTTAAACATCAGGTCCCCATGTTTTGAGAGCAAATATGAACTGGGGTCTCATTCTGTATTTGTGACTCGCTGAGTTGCAGCTCCCAAAAATACCTAGGTACCTACCTAAGGGATGAAATACGATGGGCTGTATCCTAATACATAAAGCTGGCCATAGATAGGAATATCGAATCTAGGTGGAAATGGCATAGTATAAAAGACACAGAGACTGAATAGAAAGATGGAATGGATATAAGGCTTAAGGGGGGGAAATTTGGAAAGAAAAAGAAGAAAAAAAACTGTCTCAACCTCAGCATGAACCAACGACCTCGCCGTCCCAGAGAAGAAGAAAAAAAAAAAATTTGCACCCACCGGGATTTGCACCCGGGTCTCTCCCTTCCTTGCGTGAATACATGGGAGGGGAGTGAGCTAAACTACTGCTCCATGGATGCTTCTCTTCTCTGCTGCTTGCAGGTGATGAAAGAATTGCTGTCTATTTGGATATATAAGGGTTCTGTTCTACTGGTTGGCCAGATGATAGGTGTTCTAGACATTTGACGTGGTTTGGGACGGGCAAACGCGTGAAAGGCTTGTGACGGACGCGTCTTGGAAACAGGTAGGTACCTGGGCAGCTAGACTCATGGATGGTGGCTGCCTAACCGGGTGCAAACGCGAAGTCAGCTGAGACATTTTGTACTCTGACATCTGTGATAGGCCTTCTATAATTATCCTGTCTAAGTGTCTAGTACTCTATTACCCACTATTCCACCTAATATCTCTAGACCAATGCATTCGGCATACTTGATCTCTTATACGAAAAGGTAGTTAACATCCCATCACTTAGCAAAAAAGGTGAGACAGCTTGCCGTATCTCAGGGGCTAAATAGCGGCTGCCTGCTTTAGGGGCCAAGCCACACCCTGCATCTCACACCGGCCCCATTGGATATACCCATTCACACAAGCAGCCACAAGCACACGAGTGAACAAGATCCTTTCATTCATAATTCCATAATTCATATTTCCCAAATTCCTAAACGAGTGATGCTATGCTATGCTATGGTATACTATGCAATGGTATACTATGCAGACTTAAATAACCCAAATAGATCATAAGGCTGAATGGGGCGGGGGGTATATCGACTTATATCGCTCATCCATATCGCTCACAACAAAAAAAGGCTCCTGTAACATGAATAAATACCTATGCAGCCTCCAACGTTAGTGTAGATATCATCTAAATCGTCCAATTGGAGAGCGTGGGGGTTGTTGGTCTGGGGTAAATGGATCCAGTCCAACCCACACATCCAATCACCCCAGTCTTTGCTTGCCTCTCCTCTCCTCCATCCCGCTCTCAGCCTTGCCACGTCACTTGTACACACCGAGACAGACATGCCGCGATCCAAACACAGTATGCCGTGCCCTACAATATAATCAATGCTTGAAAGCAGGCGACCCCTTAAATGTGACTGTACAACAGGCAATAATGCCCAAAGCTGGGGAGACCGATACCCAAAGAGTATAGAGGTCTGTGAAGAAGGTATGCAAATTTATCCAAAGCGGGGATACTTAAACAAGTCGTTGATGTCGAGAGGAATCAATCGCGCAGAAGAATATCCAAAACAAAATTGTACTCCCTTGGCCAATTCAGTAGGCCTCACCTCGTGCTCAATGCCTTGAGGAGTCAGGTGCCGGTGAGCTTCCTCCACCAGCTACTTCGGGGAGTGGTGTCGGTGAAGAAAGACTCGCGCGGGCCTTCTCTGCCATTACCGCTGCCGTCCGAACCGCCTAGACGACGATCTCTACGATCCCGTTCCCGTTCACGATCCCTTTCGTCTCTTCGATCTCGTTCATCCCGACGCTCTCGTTCCTCGCGGCGGGCGCGACGACGTCGTCGATCATCTTCCATCTCGGCATCGACATCGCCATATTTCGTACGACGACGAGCAGCCCGACGGGCGGCACGGCGAGCCTCTTCGTCGTCCTCCGGATGCGGGTCATGAACAGGACCGCCATCCTCAGGGGGCGGGCCAGCATCTGAGTGTTCCTTTACCCAAGAATCCGTGCCTGAATGCGGCCAGGCAGCAGGCTTGCTTCGTCTGCGATCATCGACCACATATTTCGAGCTTCTCTCCTGAGGGTAGACGTAGTCATCAGCCGGCATCGAACGTCTCCGGCTAGGCCTTTCCTCAGCGCGTCTAGCCTCGTGCCTCCTTCGTCTGCGCTCTTCATCATCCTCAGAAGCCTCGGCGTACCGCTGCCGCCGTCGTTCGGCACGAGCAGCACGTCGAGCTTCAGCTTCTGCCTCTTCGGCGGCAGCAGCTTCTTTTTCAAGCTTGCGAAGTCGACGTCGTTCAGCTCTTTCGGCTTCCTTAGCTTCGGCAGCAAGACGCTCCGCCTCTCGTTCTCGGGCGGCTCTGCGTTCAGCTCGTCGGGCTTCGCGCTCGGCCTGTCTGCGAGCTTCAGCCTCCTCTTCGTGTCTTCTGCGTCTTTCGCGCCTCTCTTCCTCTCGCGCAAGACGCGCTTCCTCGGCGGCCTTCTCCTCAGCCCTTCTAGCGCGGCGCGCGGCGCGACGAGCTTCCCTTTCCTCGTCCATGGCGTCGACATCGATACCGCGGTAATCTCGCGAGGATCGCTTGGCTCGCTTATCAGGCCTAATCTCATCATCTGTAGTATAATATGTGCTGCGACGACGAGGTGGTTCGGGCCGCATTTCGGGGCGCGGAGTTGACTTGAGTCCTCCAAAGAGACCGGCAAGCCCTTTCTTAGCGCTCGAGTTTGATCGTTTGAGGGGCGTTGCATCGACAGCGAATCCTCCATCAGCCATCATAATGTCGTCTTCCGTCTTGGTCTGGTCTAAGTCAGCGACATTGTCTCTTATGCGTAGGCGCATCCTTACCTTTGATCGCTTCCGAGCTGTTCTCTCGGGACTCGGCGGGGTATCAGCGGCTCCAACCATAACAATATCATCATCGTCCAAAAAGCGTGCATTGCGACTGTGACTCTTTTGGCTCTTATCGACACCGAAGACTTTCGCAGCTTTAGATGACATAGCGGGTATCTCTTCGGGTGGCGGCGACACTAGGCCACCTGACATTTCAACGGAATGATGACGCGAACTGGATTTTGTGGCGCCGTGGCGCTTCTCGCGTGTCGACATGGAGCGTGAAATAGGAGGGGTGCTCAGGAATAGACTGTTGGTGCGCGGCTTAGGAATCGATGCTGACTTCTTCTCTCGGCGTTCCTCAGTTCTTATATCTCTATCCGATGACGAACCCTTGGAAGATGATGACTTCTCTTTCTCCCTCTCCCTCTCCTTTCTGGGTCTCTTCTCCTCAGCCCTTTCCCTCGGCTTGGGCCTCTTCTCCTCTTTGCGAGGTGATGCCGACCACATTCCCCATGATGCACCGGCATCGCGGTTGATCTTTGCCCGCTCTTTCTTAGAGGACTTGATCTCAGGAGGGGGTGTCGGGGGCGCGTCGGGAGCTTCGGGGGCATCAGGGGCAGCTGGAGGGGGAATGGGTACTTCGGGAGGCGGAGGTGGGATAGGTACCGCAGGGGGTGGAGGAGGCACTTCCACAGCCTTGGATTTACTCTTCTTGCTCTTCTTTTTCTTCTCAACGGGCGCCATGTCAACAATTTCGACAATTTCGTTCTCGTCCTGTTCATCCGGGAAAGCTCCAGGAAGTTGGTCTCTGGAAGATCTTTCCTCAGTGGGTGGAGCGGCAGGAACACGTGGTGGCGGCGGCGGAGCAGCCAACGCATCAATCAGATCATCGTCATCCTCTTCTCTGGCTGGTTCAAATTTCTTGAGCTTCTCGGAGAGTTTACTACCCTTAGTCTTAGTCTTCTTTGGTTTCAGCCAATCGTCGTCAGTTGTGGTAGCCTTGTAGGATGACGGCGCATCCTCTTTGGTCGCATCTTCGAGAACCTTTGATGAATCAGCACATCTAATCTCGGCTGTTCCCGAGCTCTTGGAGCTACTTACCCGTTCTGGCGACGCGCTCTTAGGCTTGGCACCCCAGAATGAAAACGCATCGGCTTTGCTTGTGACTGGCGGCGGCTTGGGAATGGGAGATGAGAACCCTGACAAGAGCTCGTCCACTTGTTCAGGAGCCAGGTCAAGATTATCGAGATCGAGGTCGTCGTCGTCGTCGTCATCGTATCTATTATTTTCTCTTTGTTCTTCCTCTTCCCTTTCCCTTTCCTCCCTTTCCCTCTCTTCTCTTTCCTTTTCCTCTCTCTCCCTCTCTTCCCTTTCCCTCTTCTCCCTCTCCTCCTTCTCCCTCTCCTTCTTAGACAATTTGCTACTGGATTTGGACTTCTTTTCCTCGGCCTTTGAGCTCTTTTTCGACTTCTTCTTGGCTGCCGCTTCAGCCTCCTCGCGTTCGCGCTTGGCTTGTTCTTCAGCTTCGCGAGCCGCCTCTTCTTCCGCTTCCCTAGCAGCTTGCTCTTCAGCTTCACGTGCGGCTCGCTCTTCGGCTTCTCGTGCTGCCTGTTCCTCCGCCTCTCGCTCCGCCTGTTCTTCTGCCTCTCGTTCCTCTGCCTCTCGTGCTGCTTGCTCGTCTGCTTCTCGAGCTGCCTGTGCCTCAGCTTCCTCCGCATCTTTGTCCGCGTCTAGCGCAGCTTTTTCCTCAGCACGGGCTTTGGCTCTTTCGGTAAGTTCGTCGAGTCTCTTCTGGTCGTTTTTGGTGAGTTTCTTCCTTTTCTTGCTTTTGGCCGTTAGCGCAGCAAGCTCTTCCTCCTCGGCGGCGATTTCTGCTTCAAGCGCTTCTGCAGCGGCTCTGTCCTCAGCCTCGCGGGCTTCAGCAGCAGCCTTCTCTTCAGCCTCCAAGGCTTCGGCCGCCGCTTTCTGCTCTGCTTCTAAAGCTTCAGCTGCCGCCCTTTCATCGGCTTCTCGTTGCGCAGCTTCTTCAGCCTCCTTAGCAGCTTTCACTTCGGCGCGGCGGGCGGCGTTCTCAAGAAGCTCGTCGAGTCTCTCTTGATCAGCCTTGTTGAGCTTCTTCTTTTTCTTGCTCTTAGCCGTTAGCTTCTTTATTTCATCCTCTTCCGCAGCGATCTCGGCCGCTAATTCCGCTTCAGCTTCCGCTGCAGCTCTCTCGTCTTCTTCGGCCTTTGCTGCATCATCCCAGACATTCGCTTCGAGTTCTTGTCCGGACAAGCTCATGTTTAACGAAGGTGGTGTAGGAGCTGGAGGCGGAGACTCTTTTTGGCCTTTGTTCAAATTTCCCCAACCCCAATCGTCGTAGTTGTGTTTGCCGCCTCTGCTCTCTTCAACCGAGTCGGGTTTGACACCGTTAAGATGAGAGCCATCTTCAATTTCGATGGCGATGTTCTTACTTCCCTTCTTCTTTTTATCCTTCTTTGAGGTGGCAAAACCCCAGGATTCATCATTCTTGGGCTCCTCAATCGAATCTGGCATAAGACTGCCACTTCCGGTCTTGTCTTTGCTAGC